GATGTGTATAAGAGACAGCACCTATAATAAGTAAGGAATACTTCAAAATTTTACTTTACATAGCATGAGATCAGTGATATTTCAAATGTCAAAATTTAATTTAATTCATATGTGTTGTACCATGTATAGTTTACGTTTTACTACTGATTATATTCTGTTTACTTATGTTGGTTTTTTGAACGATGGATTAACAAGCTTGTGAGCTAAATTTTAATTGCTTTTTTAATCCTTGCCTCCTATAAAATTACATAGTTTTGTTTTAGTTATTTTACTGTATGTACCAAATGTATTTTGATTTTTATTAAATGCTAAATAAATGTTAATGAGATTTTGTGTTTCCTTTAAATTTTATAAGTATAATTATCTATTATAGGTGGCCAAATAGTAAATGTTGATAATAATTAAATATTACTCAAATATATTTATAATAATAATAGTAGTCACAATAAAAGTAAACAATAAAGATGGTGGTGATAACATAATGAAATATTACATTCTTTTTGGATGTTTCAGTTACATTATAAGAACATTTGGTATTTTTTTGATGTCATTATGAATTTCATTTGTCATCAGTTGGCATTGTGATTGGCCTTGTGGTACTGGTTGCTGCAATAGTTGGTGGTTTCAGCTACAAAAGTAAGTTTGAATGAAAACCTTAAGTATTTACAGTCTGATACACTGTCCTCTCTACACCAAAGGATTCATAGCTAGCAATGGCCAAATGACAAGAGTTGAATGATGTCAAGAAAAATGTTAACACCCTCAAGGTTTTACTGATGTGACTAGCCCAATTTAAGTCCAGCAGTGGAACATAATATTAATGTAATTATTATTCCTGTACAATTTCAGCAATCTGCATACATTTTCATATTTATAATTCAACTCAATTAATTGATCTCAAAATGCTGATTGTTCCTGAATATTTCAAGATTATTGTACCAGTTTGTGTTTCCAATAATAATTCTTTTTATCACTGATATTACTTTTAACTATTAAAATACCAATCATCATAACAAATTTTCCAGTATTTTGATGAAGGATATGAAGATCAGTGTTTTTCTTTATGCTCATGCCTATTTCTACCTCCTGAAAAAATTTTTTGTTTTGTTCACCCTTCAATTCAAGATCACATTTTTTTAGGACCTTAAAATTTGAAGTGGCCTCAGGGTTCGGTCTCCAATTAGAGGGTTAAGTTTTGTGTTTAAAAAATCAAGATTGTTATTTAGTTTTTGAAAAAGTGGTCTTGAATTAAAAGGGTCTCAGAAATAGGGGTCTCAAATTAGAGAATGCACTGTATTATTGTAATGGTAATGTTGCTGATGATTACAATGATAATGTTATTATGATAATGTGTATTTCATTTTCTTACATGTTTGTTATCTAGATGATAATCTCTGTTTCAGTAGAAAGTAAGTACAGTGTTTAGTAAAACCTTTATTCTCTGAACAGTTATTCTTGTATATATTTTGGCAATTATCAGTGTGCTATGTGTGTGTAATTCTGAAATCTAAATTCTGATCTACATTTAATCATCAGTTTCTAAAGAATAAAAGAAGGAAAAAGTGTAAGAACAAATTTGTATTTTATAGATGGCAAAAAAAAATCAGCAAGCTGTCAGAAGAATTTTATTTAAAAAAAAGAATGTTTAAAGAATAACATATTTTGTTTGTTAACTAAAAATATTTTGAATTATTAAAAACATTAAGAAAATTTTATTTTGAAAAAGTTAAACATTACAGTACCGATCGCGGGCAGTGCACTTTCTGATGCAGGCATCACGTTCCACATCTACCAACTCCCTGCATGGGCAAAGCCAGCCCACGGAGCCTGCAGTTCAGATTTTAGTGGTGCACAGGATATGCAAGGACTTTTTGGCTCATAATTGTGACCCATAGTTTAAATTTCAGAGGCCTAATAGGGAAAATTTGTATTAGAATTTCTAACATGATCATCCATCTCAACAGAAAATAATATTAAGCCTACCAGATAAATTTATTAGATCGCTTAGAGTATTATTTATGTAGGCCTACCTATTGATACGTCATATACATTGGCGGATCCCGGAGGGGTTCAAGGGGTTCGGACGAACCCCCCTCTGCGAAGAAACGTAACAGAATACAACTGGTTCCTGGCTTACAAAAAGCATGCTAACCTACCTAGGCTTAAGTTGGAAAATCAGACAACCTAGGCTTAGCCCAACTAGTTTTCAATTAAATAAATTATACACACTGTTTTTAGTTAACCGTCGTAATAATTTATGTTCGAAAGTGAGTCCTTCAGGCCTATCAGTTCATCGATCCATGAAAGAAAGGCTACATGTCTAACTAATCAATGTTGTTGGAATATAATAATATATTGCCTGTCTTTGATTTTTTTTCCCTCTATGATAGGCCTAAAGAATAAGATAAAATTACCTGACCTTTTTTCAAGAGGGGGGAAACCTTGAATTTTGAAGAATTTAAAGGTCATTAAAATACTCATCAGAAGTCAGGAAAGCTCATTTCTATGGGGTGCCATACGCAGCAAAAGTCCATGTTAAAATCAAAATGTAATTGCAAAATTCAATGTCTAATTTATCAAAACGTAGGCGTAAATTTCTCAAAATGTAGATCTAGTTTCCCAAAATGAAGTTCTAATTTTTCAAAACGTAGTTCAAATTTTTCAAAGAGTTCTAATTTCTTTAAAATGTACATGACGTGGGCCTGTTCCATTAATGATGGGAGAATCAGTTTTTGCCACAGTCCAATGCCGTGAACAACGCTTCCCAGTGCGTCTTCTTAATGGTCAGGGTACCGCGATCACAAGCCCTATGCTTGGCATTATAGGTTAGGCTTATGTGGGCTGGGAGTTGCAACAAAGTCTTGGACTAGGCCTCTAAACTATAGTAGGAGGCTTAGTCTAGGCCTATAATATAGTAAAATTCTGTATAAGTAGTCATTATGATTACAGGTTTACATTGTACCAAGGTCAATATTAACGATCGCATTTATTTTTCATTGAAAATTAAAAAAAAAAAAAAAACTTAAAAAAAAGTAACTTTAGGATTTTAAAATATTCAAAACAACTGTACACTTCAATAAAAAACAACGCGATAGGATATGAAGTTTGCGAGAATAATTGGTATACTTGTACTGTATTTTCTGAAGCGCCATTCATTTTTAGGGTTGCTACAATCAGCAGTTGTTACATCAGTGGCGTCTCGGGCGCTGACGGAGGGGAGGGGGAACGCCAGGGCCCCAAGAGCGAGGGCCTCCCCCTCCCCCACCCCCGACATTGTTTAAACAAAATATAATATAAACTATAATACCGTAGTTTCATTCAATGGGGCCCGACAGTTTTAAACAATAAAAGCTGGGTTCTGATGTTTGAGATCATGCTTCTGATTTTGTGATCAATCTATTTTGCAGATTGATCACACAGTTAATTTTTCAATCTCCAGCAAATTTTAAATAGCATCCAAAATCCTCCTTTTTGGAATGTAAGGAAATAGATAGTGCTTTTCCTTTGTTTGATCGATTGTAACTCCTGATTGTAGCAACCCTAAAACGAATGGCACTTCAGAAATACAGTACAGTATACCAATTATTCTCTCAAACTTTATATCCTATCGTGTTGTTTGTGTTTTAAGTTAACTTTATTTATTTATTTTATTTTATTTTTTTTTAAGCGTACAAGTTTGGAATATTTTAAAATCCTTAAGGGGTCATCCATTATTTTCATCATTTTCACACGCGTACAAAACATACGCTGGGGGGAGGGGGTTGAAAGTGTGTGTACGCTTTTCAAAAAGTACAAAAATAACGATTTGGAAATGTTAGCCTACGTTTTTGTACCTAGTAATTCACGAGTAAATGTTAAGTTTATCAATTGTTTATACACAGCGTCATCTTGCATCCCTGATTA